TGACCTTAATTTTAATATTCTGGGCTAGATTTATTTACATAACCCATTCAGTGCTCCACATAAACAGAGAGGACCAGGTTCACTTTGGCTTCTATACCAGCTTCCACCGGTGTATCCCCCCTCTCTGCTCTGCTAGGAGCCTGCAGATGACTAGCACAGCCCAAGAAGTGGTGGGTTGATAGCAAGGGAGAGGGGACATAGCTATGGCAACTAAAGGATGTGGTAATTTAGTGCATTCACACTGCAGGCTCCCTCAGCAGGGTTTGTATGGTATCCATGGTGGAAGTTAAAGCCCTCACTCATCACCTTCCTTCACTTGAGTGCTTCCCCCCAGGGGTGCCGAGACCCAGGCTGACAAAGGGAGACAAATTACAACCACTATAAACCTGACCCACTCTGTTTAAGTGCAACTTTCAATCGGTTATGTAAAGCATGTGTTATAAAATGCAAAGCAGAAGGAACTGAAGATAAAGCTGAGGTGCAAAGTCTGATTTTAGTGTAAAGGTTGTCAGTAAATACATAATCTAGGTATTAGTAAACTCACTGCAACTGCCACAACACAGGCAATTAATGCTTTCCACATTTGCTTTGACTTCAGCCTTGCCTTTATTATTATTATACATACCCCACCATGGGCCAGTGGATTCCCCATCAGAGTGGCAAGTGACAGGAGACTTCTGAAATCTGGTTTACCCTTCACTGGGGAGCAGATCTGGGAGCTGCTCTGTGGCTGGGAACATGCAGAAGTTCTATGCCCTAATCAGGGTCTGAGGCCTCCTCTATTGCCTGTTGTAACTCACACAAGAACCACAGCAAAGACCACAGAATCCTTGGAGCCGATCAGCAGAGATTGTAAACCCCAATGGATATTTCATGCAAGTGACGACCTCCTCAGGCACCCAGAAGATTGTGTGAGGTACCCAGCAGAAGTTCTAATCTAAGGCACTCTGCTATGGAGGGGTATGTCTACACTGCCGCTAGAATCATGCCTCCCAACCTGGGCAGACAGACATACGCTAGTTCTGCTCAAGCTAGTGAACAAAAAACAGCACTGGATGTTGTGTCATGGACAGCAGCACGGGTTAGCTGCCAGAGTAGAAGCCCACCAGACTCACTAGGTCAGTACTCGGATGGCTAGCCTGTGCCACTGCCCATGCTGCAACATCCACACTGCGATATTTGGCACACTAGCTTGAGAAGAGCTTGTGTGTGTCTATCTACCCGGGCTGGGAGGCATCTTCCTACCTACAGAGTAGACCTATCCTAAGCTCTTTTGATAAAGATTTCATAGCTATTTGACTCACAGAGCTTTCAGGCCCCAAATGGTGTGTCTGAAGCTTTTAGTTTCCTTAAAAATCATACTATCTGGTTTACAGAGTGTACAGAATCCATTAGCCATATCTGCATAGTTTGGGATCTTGAACTGAAGTTATTCAATTTCTTCAGTTTAAAAACTGTGTATTTGTGAAGTTTCTGTATTTCTTTAGCCAAATTATTTGATTAGAGAGATTGCAAATCCCTCTGGTTAGATCTAGAATATTTATAAACCCAGCAAAACCAATCAAGAAGTTTATAAATTCAGCCAAAACGTAAAATAGGTCCCAGAGATTCTAATGTGTGTGGTGAATAACTCCAAAATGAACAAGCTGTCTAAAAACTAGGGCCGTCAAACAAAAACAAAAATATTGTGATTAATCAGGAGAGTAAAAAATAGTCACAATTAATCACAGTTTTAAATCACACTGTTAAACAGAATACCAATTTAAATTTATTATAAATATTTTTTAATGTTCTTCTACATTTTCAAATATATTGATTTCAATTACAACACAGAATACAAAGTGTACAGTGCTGACTATTATTTATTATAAATATTTTTACTAGCTGTGGGAAAGAATCACAAAATAAACATAGAAACTAAAGTACATAGTAACTAATCAGAAAACACTGTAATTTTATTTTAAGAAGTGGGCAGCATTATCTCCTGTAAATGTAAACAAACTTGTTTGTCTTAGCGATTGGCTGAACAAGAAGTAAGACTGAGTGCAGTTATATAAAAAAAAAAAAAAAAATTCTACATTTTCAAGCTGCACTTTCCCAATGGAGACTGCACTACAGAACTTGTATGAGGTGAACTGAAAAATACTATTTCTTTTTACAGTGAAAATATTTGTAATAAATAATAAAGGGAGCACTGTACACTTATGGGTCACTGGATTTTACATCACAAGTAGAAATTTTCCATGCATCATATTCCTTTTTTGTATGTATTTTATAAATATGACTAAACCTCACTGCCTATTACTCAGAGATGAATAAACACAGGAAATAAACTATTAAGAAGCAAAATACAATATCTAAGGGACAAGCTTCATTTGTGTGTCTTATAAATAACTTTGCTTTTTAAATATTAGGTGCCAAATTCAGCCCTTGTGTAAAGCAGGTGCAACTCCATTGACTTCAGTAGAGTTGCACCAGAACTGAATGTGGCCGTAATGGTTTGGTTTTATTTTTGTCATCTGAACATTACTAAATCTTCAAATGTTACGGTATGTGTCTGCAAGGAGTCTGTCTGCTGGGTTAGACTCCTACAAAGCCATTTCAGGTCCAGATTCAGCAAAGCATTTAAGCACATATGTACTTTCCTTAATCAGCACTTTAGTAAAGTACTATAAATTGTTAGTACTGGGGCAGAGGCACCCCAGTTAGACAGACAGTTGTGTTGTGGGGGGTGCGGGTGTCACTTTGGGAGAGAACAGCTTTAAAATCCTGCTGAGGCTCTACAGGAGCCCAGCCAAACATGGCTGGCCGGGAGCGTTGAACTAGCACATCTCTGGGCCAGGACTGCCCACTTTTGAAGTTGTGCCACCAGTTCCGGGCCTGCGATGGAACAGGGGTTGCAAGGAGCTTGCACTGCTGCATTCTAGCTCTAGGCAGATTTACTCTTGTGAACTGTCATCACCCTGGAGCAAATCTGGCCTGTTGACAATATTAAGGGGAAAAAAGCATGAAATCTTACCAGTCCAAAAACAGACCTCCAAATCCCAGGAACTTATGCAACTACAACCTCAAGCACCCTTTGATAATGCATTCCTTAAATTAATATGAAGAATTCCCTGCAGAATAACTAGTGTGTTAGGTAGTGCGTGTTAAGATTCTAAATCACAAAAATACTTGGACATCTCTGTACTTTTCCTACCTAAGAACATATTGACAGCAACAATTTAAAAGTCAGCTTTCAGTTCTTCCATAAAAACAAACAAACAAAATCTGTGGATGTCCCAATGCCTCCTTTTATCTCTACTGGTCCACTGGAGATTTTCCAGGTCATGACTGGTGTCATTTTGCACTAGGACAACATATGTGAGTTGCCAACAAAACTGGATCAATCTGATATTGTACGTATACTTCTTTCAAAAAATTAGTTCTAGAATATACACCTGTCAATCTCTGGGCACATTTTCGATCATTAAAAATTAGCTGCAAAGAACTGCAAGAGGCAGCCACAAAGCATTGTGGGACTGGGGTCATGGCAAGAAACTGGCTAGTTTTGGGATTGGGAGGACAGGGAAAGATTGGGAACCTCTGAGGTAAGGGCATGAGTCCAGACAGAATAGGTACAGCAAAACAAACACAGGTGAGTTGTGGCCAGTAGAGGTTACACTCCTCATGGAAGAAGTACTAATTTCATAAACTGAAGTATTCTCTCTCTACCTACTGTACCTCTCTATTGGAAGTACTATAGTCTCTTCGTTTACCGGAGCCAAGAACCCAGCCTTTTTCTATACCCCTGCCTCAAACACCCATCAGTATTCAATCCTTGAGGGACGCTAATACAAACAACAAAAAAGTCACATCTATAAACTCAGCTCAAAAACATAAACTGCCTGTTGCTTCTAAGGAAAGAAAAGGGTCTGGAATTTTAAAGCCACCCACATACTGCGAGTGTGGCTGCCAAGGAAAGGAAGAATTAAAATGGAATGTTTAAAAATCCTCCTGGACTTTACCAGTGTTACAGCAAAACTGCAAACATGGAAAAATTATCATTTATTATTGGTATTGCAGGAACTTTTATAGGCAGAGCTCAGCTGTACTATGCGCTGTACAAACACATAAAGGGAGGGACCGTCCCTGCTGTATAGAACAGTGTTAGCAACAAAAAGGGGAGAACTGAATCCAGTAGCCAAGAATTTGTTCACTTTAAAGATACTGATTTTTTTCTACACTAAATTTATATTTTAGTTTTAATTTTAAAAAGCTTATTGTGGGTACCATCATTGCTAATAAGACTCTCGCTTAATGTCACCCACACGGAAAATCAAGGAGAGGAAGCAGCAGTAAGGAAGGTACCATATGTTGATGTAGCACCTAAACAACAGTCTGTTGCACTGTGCTACAAATACTGTGTTAATCTCTATAGTGGTTATTGTAAGAAAGAATTAAAGGCATTAAGTTATCTATTAAACAAAATTACCTAAAAATCCATACAAAACAAAACCCACACCTTTGGCAAAATATTAAGGAGGGTTAATTTGTAGTCAAGAGACACAGTACAAACATTTGAAGCATTTGAGAACTTACTGTACTAGATTCTTGGACAATAGTGTTTTTAGCAACAGAGATATCTCTGTTGCTAGGAGCCAAGAATTTCCCATGCTATAGCAAGGTGTGTATTTAAGAAGAGATGTTAATATTCAGTAGTCACACTTACTGGGTATAGGAACTTGGTATACTTTTACAAAAGAGAAAGGACTCAGAAGTGAACAATGGCATTTATTTTGTTTGTTTTGCTTCTTTGGCCTATTTGGTTGAATGTTTGACTTACAGCAAGTACAAAGTTGAGGGAGAGGGAGATTTGTTTTCTTCTACTTTGAAGGCTCCACATTAGGAATGCTCAAGTATTAAACTTTCATGCACTAGAGTCTAAAAAAGACAAAGCTGTAGAATCGATATACTGTACTAAACAATCTTACAAAAGGAAGGTTACTGGTCACATTTACCTTTTTATATGTTTTCTCCTCATTTTGTTTTCCAGCAGGGGCATCTCCATTTTCAGAAACAGATGACATCTAAGACATAGAAAAACAAGTATTTTTTTAAACCATAAATACTAATTTGTTATCCCCTGCTTGCTAAATTCTGATTTTTAGAGAGGACAGTAGTAAGTTGTTAAATTGTATAAAGACTCTCAAAACATTGTTAGTTTAGGGTTTCTTTGAACACTGATTTAAGTTAGAAGCTAAAAGGAGCTCAAGATTGCACTGACCTTTCCTGCTGACATCCCGCACTACTAACTCATGCCTAATTTGCCATCCACTCTCACCCATATATGTTATGTTTTTTGTAAAACTTTCAACCATGCTTCTAATCTCTCTAGGTCCTTCTGTATTATTTCTTTCCTTACTAATATCTGTAACTCTTTCCTAGTTAGTATCCTCAGTGGATATTCAGTAACATTCTTTTTACCCCCTCTTCCAGATTATTAAAGAAATGTTAAATGAACCCGGACCTAGCAGCATGACCAACTGTAGTGTTGCACTAGATATCTGATAAGCGATCACTTGTCACCACCCTTTGGTTATGGACCTTCAGCAACTTTCAAACCCACCTGTCAGTTTTTATATTCAAGCCAACTTGAATACATTTTTCTTAGTGTCGAAGTTTAGATAGATTGTAAGCTCTTTGGGGCAGAGACTGTCTTTTTGTTCTGGTTTTGTACAGCACCTAGCACAACAGGGGCTCCCAGGCAGGACCATAATACAGATAATAAATAGTAAATAAGATTTGGAGAACAAGACTGCCCGGACATACTATCAGACTTTTTTTTACTGGAATCCAATTAAATGACATCTTCTGCATACCCCTTTTCCCCTCCTTTAGTCCCTCAACACAATCATCTGAAAGATGGATTCTTCCCCCCCCCCCCTCAACACAAAAACATGCAGTTCCCTTTGTTTCTTATATTTGGATCATTTTATAAATTCAATGGGGTGGCTAAGTTAATGTCACCATTTGAGACAAGTACATTCTCAGACCTAGCAGTGTTTAAGAGCTAGACTCTCCATCATTCTCCAAGATTATACTTCAAACTTGTTTGTACAAGACTACAGATGTAGAAGTCAAAGTTTGACTTCACAACAGATTCTGTACGACAAGCTTGATATATCCAATAACAGGTGTAAACCATGAGGATTGTGCTTGGGATCTAGATTTGTGATGGCACATCCTGCATGCCCAAGAGACCCAAGACCTGTGGCTAAGTTGACAGACTGTCCCCAAAGTTGCAAGGTGATGTTTGACATTGTACCTGCTAATTGCAGTAAAGCAACACCAGTTCAAGAATAAGTCATATTCCCCCACCTAGATCACCTGCAAGTATAGATGCCAAGAAAAGGAAGAATTAAAATGGCAAGTTTTAAATCCTGCTACATTTACATATTAGTGTTAGAATGAAGATACACATACCTTTCTGAACTAAATTGCAAGTCATCTGGAGCTGAGAGTGACAGTCAACCCATTCATTGATGCTGTCAATTTTTCCAGGTCCCTGTTAACACAAAAATCATTCAGCATTATGTAATCTGAGTTTAACGTCTGTTAGATATTGTTTAATGTTTCATGTAGAAAGGAATTTTTACTTTCTGAGTAGGTTAGAGCTTTGAAAGAAGCAGGGCAATACAAGATCTTTCTCAAATGGTTTGATTATTAATGTATATTTAATAAAACTAGCTTTTGCTACACTGAATAAAATCAATATGGTCATCCTTTCTGAGTTCTAACTTGCCTTTGCCCTAGATACAATGCTACTGTGTCATGGTCGTCCTTATTGTAAAACATTTATGTAGGGCCATAAATTTTCATGGCATTGTACAGAACAGAATTAAGACACGTTCTGTGCCCTGAAGAGTTTGTAAAGTGAACACCCAACCCTACAACCTTTACTCACTTGAGTAATCCATACTGAAGTCAGCAGGACTACTTGCATGAGTGAGGGTTTGCAGGACAGGGCAATGAATAGTAAATATATAATTAACTTTACTTCAGAAGGAACTCAATCAGCAGTTACTATACAAAGCATTCTAACCTGTATATAATTAAGCTATCATAATTATGTAATATTATTGGTAGTCTGGGAAAGACTAGCTTTTTATTGGTAAATGTCAATTTCACCCTACACACGGAAACCCATGAAAATATTTCCACTGATAATTACTGAAATTTACAGATAGGCAAAGACAGACAAATGCTTCCTGAAAACTGAGTTTGATTTAAGGATATTTACTTTTTATATTTGGACATGTGATGTTGACAATTTGTGTTCTAATAATTTTAAAGCTTTAACTTTTTGAATCTCAGTGTCTACAGTCATTAAATAATTGTCTGACCTCATCCATAATTTCCCACAACTGTGAAAATTTAAATAGAATTTTTTTTTTTAAAAAAAGCTTAAAATAAAAACCATTATTTATCAAAATTATATAAAAAAAAGATAAAAATTGAGGTCTGCCAAACTTAATTATAGAATAAATTCTGCTTGCTTTCCTCACAAGTCCCATTGACTTCAAGCAGAATTACTTTCTTGAATAAATAAGGTACATGGGTGCCATTTGGTACCTCTTTGGAAGTGTGCGTGTGTGCGCCTCTCCCTCTCCCCTCTAGTGAAATTATACCCATAAGATGGTAGTTCAATTTTGGTTTTCCCCTTCCTCTCCCCCATGAACACATTTGACTTTTCTCTTGCAATCAGTGTAAACATCTCCTTATACATAGCTACACACTTAGAAGTAATTTTCCCTGGAAGGAAAGCCTATCCTTAACTTTTTAAGACGTTTTCATAAAGCAGCAAACTTTTCCTCTTGGAATGGCTAAAGAATTGTAGCCCCCACAGATCAAATATGGCTCGTGTCAAATCTACATCTTTGGAAAATTAGTTTCTCCATTAAGAGCTAAAAAAAATTGTTACTCAAATCCTCTGAGAAGGATAAACCTTCCTAATATCACCCACCAGCATTTTATCATGCATCACAAGTTTCATTTTGCCCTTTAAGTCTTCACAAGCAACTAATATCTTCATTATTAATGTTATTACTTGGCCATATCCTCCCACCATCCTACACGCAGAACTCCCACTCAAGTCAGACAGAGCCATTTAAAGTAGGTTTCATTTGTTCAGAAACGTACATACATGTCAACTATTTTATAACAATATTAGGCAGCTTCATCTACACTTACATTTCTACCCACAGTGGTACTAGACACGTTTCTCTAGAAAAACGCTACCATGGTTTCAAATTCCACCAGAAAGACAGCCTAACTGCTACTGGTTACTTTAAGATTAAAGCTCCTCAGAACACAAACAAACAAGAGCAAGATCCTATTCCTCCCAGCATTAACCTGAGATAGGATCAGACCAACTCAAAGAAAGTCAAACATCAATACAGCATAGGAATTTCCTCCCAATAAATGTTAGCTGAAGAAAACATTCATGCCGGATGTGGAAGAAAAGCTTGTTTGTGCCCAGTATAGCCAGATAAATTATTCAAGAACATTTAATCCATGTGAAAAATATGCCCCTGTAATGTTGCCAAGGTTAGGGAGACAGATGGTGATCTCCTGACTATAGTAACAATTGAACATGCAACTTAAATTTCTATGAAGAAAGTAGAACTTGGCTATTTGTGCTAGTTTCTTCCATTTTCTAAAGCTGGTTGGCCCAGATAGAACCATTACTATTCTTGGTCCCAGGCTTGTGGGGAGCCAAGCACCCTTAACTCCTTTGAATTTAATGGGAATTTATAGTGTTCAGCATCTTGAAGAATCAGGCCTCTATTAGCTGTAAAGAATATGATTAGGTTAATTCACTGAACTAATTTGTTATGCAAAACATCCTTATCTCTTTATTCTTTAGAGACCTGTGGTGCCATTTTGGTACTGAGGTGCTTTGCATAATATGTATTTTGCTGTAATTGTTTCATTTCTACAAAAATACATAGTGCATTTATAGTGCAGGGACATTATATCCCCAAAGTGTTTGGAATGTATTCACAGGCTACACTACACCTCTGATTCTTAAAATCCTCTATTACCCTTCCATTTGAAACAGAAGGAAGTTCCTGGAGAACTACAGTATTTGATCTTAGCATGGGCCAGGCAGTTCTAGGTACATACGGCACACTGAGATAAAAGGAGTTTAGGAAGCTTTTAAGACCCAGAATTACTTCATGACTCAGTATTAGACCAGGCTATTTATAAAGGTCTTCATTGCGGCTCCTCAGTCACAGTCCCACTTGAGGGCATGGGGGAGACACGCTATTCCCCAACAGTAATTTTAGGAAGCATTTTTCCAGACCTCTGCAGAGTACTGTCCCTGGCTTTAGGGTCCCCCACCCACGAATCCAAAATTGAAGGAAGAGGTTCAGCTCCCAGAATTTAAATCCTTCACTACTGAAGGCCCTTGGATTCAAAGTTTCAGTTCAGGCACATCAAATTTTAAACAAATAATAATAGGTTTTTAAAAAATTCTGAGATTTTTTAAACAGAAGTTATTCTTCTAAATTAAAAAAAATCATTTTTATTGCAACCATTTGTGTTTTAGGATTTACTTCACATCACTGGAAAACTTAGACTCCTACACCTTCTAATGTTACAAAACTCTAGTTGCAATTCCAGTGACCTCAGAGATAATAGCACTCTGCACTTTCCCCCTGAAAATACACTGGATGATTTCTGTCAGACTCCCCCACTGAGTCAAAGAAAAAAAAATCCAGTCAAGGGTACGTCTGCACACAAACAGCCACCCAAGGCAGTGAGTCTCAGAGACAGGGTCTACAGACTCAGGTTTGTGCTATGGTACTAAAAATAACTGTATTGACATTTGGGCTTTGGCTGGAGCACAGGCTCTGAAGTCCAGGGCCCAAGATCCCAAGCTCAAATGTCTACACTGCTACTTTTAGCACTGCAGTGCAAGCTTGGGTCTGTACCCCCAAGTTCTGCTGTGTAGATGTTCCCTAGGCAGCTGGAGAGTTGAGGACAACACGGATACAATAATTTCCACGGGTATATTAGAAATAGGAGTTTAATAGTAAGGGGATAGAGCGAATGTGGGCTTCCCAGAGTTTACGAGCAATGGGTATGCAAGTATGTGTTCAGGAAGAGCTCCAGTGCTGTTAATTTTAATCTACCATAAAGTTGAAGCAGAATTCTGTGTTTTTATTGAGTGAACAGGATAAATGGGGAGAAAGTCACACACAATATTAATAAAGAATAGACAGTTCCCCTGTTCAGTTTTGTACTACTGCCTGCATAGAGTGTAAAAGTTGTTAAAGAAACAAAACAGGAAAGGTAAGAGCCTCTCAGGTACACAGCTTCACAGGAGTTAACACAACAAAGGCTTGGCAATCAATTGGGTAGAGAACTTGCTTAGCTGATTCCAACCAGGCTACAAGGTTTTACTTTTCTCAAGGCTAAGGCCTTGTGTACACAACAAAACTATATGGGCAGAACATCCAGCAGAGAGACAGCTTATGACGACTGAAGGAGCTTCTCTGCCAGCACAGTAATACCACATCCCTGAAAGACATTAGCTCAGCCAACTTATCAGCATAGCTGTGTCTACACTGGGGGTTTTGTCAGCACAGCTGTGCTGGCTAGCCTAGGGGTTTCTTCCACACGCCTGACTGACATAGCTATGCTGCTAAAACTTTGTAGTGTAGACTTGGCCTAAGCCTGGGATCAAAAGGAGATCTAAAACCTCCGAAGAGGATAGAAAAGGGAGTGTGTGGGGGGTGTCAGGTGAGCTGAAAGGCTGGCCAGAATGTGTCAGTGAAACGGCTGACAGTCTGAGACAGACCGGGAGCATGCTGCTGCATTATACACTGTTTCTTCCTGCCAGGGATGGAGTTAGCCAGGCTGAGGGGGAGTTATGTGAAAGACAGACCCACATGACTAGGTCTTTTGTTTTACCCTGTGTTCTACCTGTTTTATACCTTTGAGTAATGAATAAATTGTACTTGGTTTTGAAGAAGCTGTTTCTGTATCACTGCACATGTGTGCTGTCACAGGCCCTTAGAGCAGTGGTGGCCAACCTGTGGCTCCAGAGCCACACGCGGCTCTTCAGAAGTTAATATGCGGTTCTTTGTATAGGCACCGACTCCAGGGCTGGAGCTGCAGGCGCCAACTTTCCAATGTGCCGGGGGGTGCTCACTGCTCAACCTCTGGCTCTGCCACAGACCCTGCCCCCACTCCACCCCTTCCCTGAGCCTGCTGTGCCCTTGCTCCTCCCGCCTGACCCCCAGAGCCTCCTGCACGCCATGAAATAACTGATCGGGAGGTGCGGGGAGGGAGGGGAAGGTGCTGATTGGCAGGACTGCCAGTGGGTAGGAGGCGCTGGGAGTGGGGGGAAGCTGATGGGGGGGGCTGCTGAGGTATTACTGTGGCTCTTTGGCAATGTACATTGGTAAATTCTGGCTCCTTCTAAGGCTCAGGTTGACCACCCCTGCCCTAGAGCAGTGGTCTCCAACGTGGGGTGCGCGCACCCCAGGGGGTGCA